CTGGTGTTGTGGAGAGATGATGGGATTGTTGAAAATATAGAAGCGGACCAAAGTTACTATATGGCAGAAATCAACAATGTGGACAAAAGAAATTTCAACAAAAATATGGCCAACATAGGGCCATGTCACCCACCTGAGGAATATTTCGAGCCAAATGAGAACGCTTATTATTCCCTAACCTTGCGTCCCAATGGATTCCAATGGGATAGGGAAATCATGTGGAACGGGCAGGTGACTGAAAAAGATGGAGAGACTTCGAAGACACGGCCAACTGGCTGGGCAAGCGAAGGTTATTATGACTGAATCAAATTACTACCAAAAGATTTCGGCCTATTTGGCTGAGAACAAACGAAGAACGGCTCTCGAAGCCGAGATACAAAACACGGCTGTCGAAGCCATAAACAAAAAAGAAATAGCAAATCCTGAAGGAAACCATTCATCCTCACCATGTGATGGACAAACTTCTGAACTGATGGATCGAAGACTAGATGCCATTTATGATCAAGAGCCCTTGGGGTTCAAAAAGGATCCAGCGTCATCAAGCGCTAAGATGCTGGCCCAAGATCCTTTGGAGGAAGTTGATATTGGGGATGGTGTTGAAAAAAGGATTACATACATCAGTGCGAAACTTAGTCCCAATTTAAAAGGCAAAGTGGTTAAGATGCTCAAACAAAACAGAGATTGCTTCGCCTGGGACTACGATGAAATGCCTAGTTTAAAGAGGGAACTGGTAGAACATAGGCTTCCAATCAAGGATGGCAAGAAGCCCATCAAGCAGATGCCTAGACGATTCTCTCCAGAAATCCTCTAAAAAATAAAGGCAGAGGTGGAACGGCTCCTTCGATGCAAATTTATCAGGACCACAAGGTACGTAGAATGGCTTGCTAACATTGTACCTGTTATTAAGAAAAATGGCTCTTTACGAATTTGCATAGATTTTAGGGATTTAAACACTGCCACCCCAAAAGATGAATATTCCATGCCTATAGCAGAAATGCTGATTGATTCTGCTGCGGGTTTCGAATACCTGAGTATGTTAGATGGATATTTTGGGTATAATCAGATTTTTATTGCTGAGGATGATGTTCCCAAAATTGCATTCAGATGTCCAGGCGCTTTAGGCACTTATGAATGGGTAGTTATGCCCTTTGGACTAAAAAATGATGGGGCAACCAGAGGCGAAATTAGGGGAGACTCAAAGCTGGTCATCAAACAGATAACCAAAGAATACAAATGTATCAAGGAAAATTTGATCATGTACTTCGTTATTGCTAATAGATTACTCAAAAAATTTGAATATGTGGATATAAAACATATTCCCAGAATTGATAATCAGGAGGCAAATGACTTGGCTCAAATAGCTTCAGGATATAAGACATCTAGAGAAAAACTCCAATATCTCATAGAAACAAGAGGCAGAATATTGGCTACCAAATTATCACCATTAGACTTGGAAACTTCGAAACTAGGTTATGCAGATCAGAAAGAATTCGAAGTTCTAAATATTGATACTTTGGCAGATACAGATTGGAGAAGTCCCATAGTAAATTACCTGAAAGAACCTTCAGTAAGTACAGAGAAAAAGACCAAATATAGGGCATTCTCTTATGTCCTAATAGGAAATGAACTTTTTAAGAAAACCCCAGAAGGTATATTACTCAAGTGTTTAGGAGAAAATGAAGCATATTTAGCAGTATCCAATGTGCACATTGGGGCATGTGGGGCACATCAAGCAGGTCACAAAATGAAATGGTTGTTGTTTCGATATGGAATGTATTGGCCCACTATGCTCAAAGACTGCATAGAATTTGCTAAAGGTTGCGAACAATGCCAAGTTCATGCAGGTATTCAACATGCTCCTGCAAGTGAGTTACATTCAATTGTTAAGCCTTAGCCATTTAGAGGATGGGCATTAGATCTAATTGGTGAAATTCGACCAACATCATCCAAAGGACAGAAATATATCCTTGTGGGTATAGATTATTTTACAAAATGGGTCGAAGCAATTCCTCTAGTGAACGTTGATCAAGAGGTCATTATGGAATTTATCCAGAGGCAAATAATTTACAGGTTCGGAATACCAAAAAGTATTACAACAGATCAAGGTTCAGTTTTCACAGGGCGAAAAATGCAAGAATTTGCAAAAGATATGGGATTTAAATTACTCACGTCAACTCCTTACTATGCTCAAGCTAATGGACAAGTAGAAGCAGCCAATAAAGTCATAATAGGTTTGATAAAGAAACATGTAGGACGAAAGCCAAGAAATTGGCACAAAACTTTGGACCAAGCTTTGTGGGCATGTCGAACATCTCCTAAAGAAGCAACAAATACTACTCAATTTCGACTTACCTTTGGACATGATGCAGTGTTGCCAGTCGAAATACACTTACAATCAGTAAGAACCCAAAGACAAAATGAAATACCAACTGATCAATATTGGGAAATGATGATGAATGAATTAGTGGACGTGGATGAAGATAGGCTACATGCTTTAGAAGTTATGAGAAGACAGAAAGAAAGAGTAGCCAGAGCATACAACAAAAGAGTTAAAAGTAAGTTGTTCTCAACCAATGACCTGATATGGAAGGTTATATTACCTATGGATAAAAAGAACAGATTATTAGGTAAATGGTCACCCCATTGGGAGGGTCCCTTTCGAGTATTGAAAACATTTTCGAATAATGCTTACGAAATAGAAGAATTGGCGGAAGATAGAAGAATCTTGAGGGTAAATGGGAAATACTTAAAAAGGTATAAATCATGCTTGCAAGAGGTTAGAATCACTGTAGGATAATAAAAAATATATATAAACATGAAGCCAAAATGGTATTATATAAGTGTCGGAATGGTTGTGTTTAATCATTTACAATAAAAAGCATTAACAAAATACATTCAACAATCAGAAAGGGGCGTTTCGTTTCAACTTAGCAAACTTGCTCTAGCATAAGTTGATTTTGCATGAGTTTTTGATACTCTCGAAATAGCCTGGATGAGTCAAAAAACAAGTATTTCTTTATATCTGTCGAAATACATGTTCTTGGGGGGCAATTTGTTAGCTGGCTATTTCGAATAAGGAAGAAACCACTATCAAAATAATATTTCGAATAAAGTACCTAAGGAGATTAATATCAATATTGGATATTGGTGGGAGATATGGAGTCATTATGCTGAAGGATTATTCAATTTCCAGCGGATTTCGATTTGGACTTGTTTTAGTGTTCGAATTATAAAAGAGCTTCTTTATGTAAGGGTGCCAGAAGTTGGAAACGGTCCAGGTATTTGGGTTATTTCGAAAGCAACGAAGAAATAAGATGCTTCGATTGGTACATATTTGGAATTTCAAATAAAGAGCCACATTCTAGAAGACGCGTGGAAGTCAGCAAACATAGGAAGCCTGCATGCTTCGAACGTGGCGTAATTTTAGAATAGGGCCGTTAGGGTCAAGACACTATAAATAGGTGTTCTTATGTTAGATTTAGGAGTGTTCACTTTTATGTACTAAAAGATCTCAAAATACTCAAACTTCCGTAAATTAAGGAAAACGAGTCAGAAGATACAATATACGTATTGAACATCATTACTTTTTTATAATTTCAATACAAGTCTTGTTATATTTAGTTCGCCATTACAGTATTTCTGCCCTTAAATCCTTCGATTTCTTTGCATTTCTTTGTTTTACTTGCCTTTAAACACAGTCACTTCGTTAGACAGTATTTCTGCCCTTAAATCCTTCGATTTCCTTGCATTTCTTTGTTTTACTTGCCTTTAAACACAGTCACTTCGTTGCCCTTAAATCCTTCGATTTCCTTGCATTTCTTTGTTTTACTTTCTAATTCGAAGCCTTTCCTGCCTACAGTCACTTCGTTAGAAACTTTACTTTTACTTTATCCTTTTAGTCAAACACTTATCTTTACATTCAAGTCCAAGTCTAATTCGAAGCCTTTCTTGCCTACATTCAGTTAGTTTATTCCTATAGACCATTTTAGAAATCTTTCCTAAGAATCTCGTATTCGAACTTAACATACAATATAAAGTCTATCAATATAATAGATATGAACATGGAAATGAGTTATGACACATGTGTTCTAGGATCAATCTAGTCGATCCTGCAAGTAACCAATAATAATTAGTAAATTGGAAGACTATCGGTTGTTTACTAAAAATCACTGTAAACACAAAGCTATATCAAAGCAAAGAAACACGGCGATCTTCGTGCAAGCTTCACCAAGCAAAATAGAAATAATCAGAAAAGACATCCAATACAAGAATTAAAGCATCACCGTGTGAAAATAACTCACAATCGAAAGGTGCATCAAGCAAGCTCAAGGTGTCAGATAAAGACTCTAAGCGTCGGATAAAAGTCACTGTATTAGATAAGGCTCCAACAGATAAAAGAAATCAGTATAGAAGAGAAATAATCTGCACTTGTCATGTGAAATAAGAATCGAGCCCAAACGGACTATAACCTTTACCAAAGCTAAAATGAAGCAAAGGAAATATGGAATGGTTGTTTGATCAATTAAATAAGAGTTGATTAACTTAATTAATTGAATTAAGAAAAATAGATAAGTAAACTAATCTATTTTAATTAATTAAATCAAGTAACTAAATTAATATCTAATTAATTGATCAAAGTGAAAAGATAAAAAAAAAAAAAAAGATTGAATCAATTAGTTAAACATTGATTAAATTAATTAAATGAAGTTAAGAAAAATATATTAGTAAATTAATTCATTTTAATTAATAAATACCAATTAATTAATAATATCAGCACTTTCATTCAACAAAAACTCACGAAAACCATATCTACAACCTAAGACTCATACATATCTCAGTTATCATCTTCAATCAACAAATTCAATAACAATATCACCAACTTAATTAATACAACAGCCAGCAACGTCAATAATTAGATTCACATTCGAACAGCCCAGAGATTAACACAAACAGTCTCAAAATTGAATTAAATTAACATGGTGAAAGTAAAAGTCATGAACTCAGTAACTCACGAAAATTAGGCAGAAGTGTTGAGCTGACGTTGAAGCTAGCGGACAGAGGTTTTGTACAGTGAGTGGAAGGAGTGAGTGGTGTGAGAGTTGTATGGTGGATGAATCGGAGAATGTTGGAAGGTGAGGTTCTGAAGGGTGATTTTCGTATGGAGGGAGTAAGGTTGGAGTATGTGAAGGTTGTGAGGTTGGGTAGTTTGGTGAGTGAACGAAGAAAGGTGAGCCGTTGGGAGATGAGAGGATCCGAAGAATAGGATGAAGGAAAAATTTTTTGATCCTTCTTCGTTTTGTTTTCTTTCCCCTTTGTATCTCGATCTCCCTTATAACAAGCCAAACAAACTTATCCAAACTTTAGGTCTTAGCCAAATACCCTTAAGCCCTTGTCAAGATATTTTGCTATTAAATTTAAACAAAAAAAGTTATATACAAATTTTATAGAAATATTAAACTAAACAAAATTCTCAATTAGAAATTAAATAAAACATAAACTAATTTTCCCTTTTCATATATATATATATATATATATATATATATATATATATATATATATATATATATATATATATATATATATAATAAATGCCATAAACAATAAAAATTTGAATATTAATTCTCTAAAAGTAAAGGAAAAATAAATTTGAATGAAAATTTTATATCGAAAATAAAGGCAAAATACGTGAAGAGATACAAAGATATGAATAAAAATTAAAATTGACACATGAATGCGAATGAGAAACTCGGGGTAAAATTTGGGGTACAACACTCATAAAAGAGGAAAATCAGTGGCTCTGAAATCTTTTGGAAAGTCTAAAATAACTAGAGCTCTTCAAGCTGAAGAAGAAGGAGAATCAGAACAAGATTCAGAAGATGAAGACGAGGGTTTTCTCTTCTCTCCAAAAGAGTTAATCAACTCTGGAGAAAAAGATAAGGTAAATGGAGAGGATTCAGAAGGACAATTGATCGCTTCAAATCAACTTATCGAAAAAGGAAGTCAGGTGCAAATAAAGACATCACGTGATGTGAATGTAAGGAGCCAGACCATTACAAGAATGAGCAAACTCTAACCTTGTGAATGGTGGGTAAGTAGAAGTAAAAAGAATAATTGGAAGAGGCGTCATATACGACCATGTTATCCCTCTCTGCAAGAGACCACGCCTCTAAAATAATTTTTTCTTCGTCATGGGAGGAAGCAAAAGTAAGTTACTGCTGAAGGGAGGTTATTTTTTCCTCAGTAGTGCAAATGGTCCCAACTTTCCTCACATCCTTGGACTTAGTATAGAAGGTGGCCATAATTTTCACCTTTCATAGAAAACGGAAAGAAAAAGTTGTCAGTATCACTACCACCAATGCTATCACTATTGGAATTAAGAGCACTTTCGTATCTGCCAAACACGCCTAGTTCCATTAAGCTACAGTCAATAGTCCCATTAGGACGCCTAGCATTCCTATAACAATAGTTCCACAGAGATATACGCTCATCATGAGTTAAGGGTTCAATCCAATTTTTATTCTCATCTTAATCCCTAATAATAGCTATAAATAAAAGGCAAAAATGGGAGTATCGAACATGTATGTATATAGGGTATGAACTTGAGCTCGTGGAGATGCGAAAATTATTGAAGGTAGAAGAAAAGTTAGCAAGAAAGTGTGTGGAAAAGTGAAAGAGCTAGGGGTTCATCCCCTTAAATAGGAGAATAAAGATAGGGGTAATCAAATGTGAACAGTTAACCATGTTTTGACACGTGCCAAAAAAATAGAGTCAATTAGGCATCCCAAGGTTAAGTCATCAATGAAGGAATAAAATACCTCACATGCTTCTCTCGACAAATACATATTATGATATTCAAGCTAACATATGAATCATAGTCTGGACACTTTTAAATGTGTCTAGACTCACCTACATATGGGGTCCACCTCATGCTTGAGGGAATCAACTAGTATCTCACAAGAGAGACTCAAATAATGTCTCGCCTAAGGGACTTAACTAGTATCTTTCCTGGGGGAATCAACTAATGTCTCGCCTGAGAGATTTTACTAGCGCTTCGTATAAAGAGTTCAACTTAAGATTGTATCACTTGCAATTTTCCTAGAATGTCCAGATGGGAGGCTCCCCTCGTTTTTGAGGAATTGGGTATCTGTATTTTTTAGTGCAAGACATAGGATGCGATGTGGGGGGTTCTAAGCCTCCCCTTTACTAGATCAATTTCATATTTACTAGATGTACCACACTTCTATTGGATATTTCGTCTTCCTCAAGGATAAGTCGCCGACATGGGAATCGGGGATTGACGGGTCCTCATCCTTTAACAACATGGAATAAGTCATTAGGAAAGTGGGTCACACTTCTCCAAATATAAGGAGATAAATTATCCACTTACTCATTGGTTGCTATTTTCAAAGAAGTCTTTGATCCAGGTCCAATTTGGATATAAATACTTCAACATTGTGATAGAGGATAACCTAACTTACTCCCAAAAATAAATACATATAGATCTTCTCACCCCGTGTGAACTAGTTCTCAGCCTCAGAACAACCTGAAAGCCTCGTATAATCTTAATCATTAGAGATTGTGACGCATTTATACTTTTAACTAATACAAATAATAATAATATAATAATAATTTTTACTAATCTAACTTTATTGTCACGCAAAGATAGTGTTTTATACAATATCTATTAAATTTAAATAAAACACTATCTATTGAATACGGTAAAGTTAGATAGTGTTTTGGCTTGGGAAAAAGACAATCAAATAAAAAAAGTTATTTGTAGTAAGAAATATTTTAAAATAGTAAATACTCTTATTATTACTGTTGATTATTCAAAAGAATCTTTACTGTTTTCAGAATATATATATTAGAAGTTATATTATTTATATGAACCTTTTGTATAAACTATAAAAATAAAAAGTAAAACTTATATGTTAATAGTACAGATGGAGAAGTGGTACAATTGGAGAAGTTGCTGGCCATACTCAGTCAAAGCAAGTGATCATAGTTTGTCTGAGGTTTTATTTACAGGTACATTGGTGGTTGAGGATGTACAACATGAATTGGATATTTTTTGGAAAACAAAGGTATCAAATAAGATTCAACTGTTTGGCAATAAGCTATTCCTCAACAGGTTGCCTATACGAATGGAATTCCAAAAGCGAGGAGTGATTTATGAAAATCATAATCTAGTATGCCCTTTATTTTTAAATTATTTTATCTAAGTGGATTAATTTATTTTTTTATATTTTTACAAAATATATTTAATGACAATTATACCCCGATTATAATTTACCCAGCTTCCTCATTCATAACCATTTTTATCATCATCACATCACACACTCAAATATCATATTATAAATTAATCACAATCCCACTCTCACTCTGCGGAGTACTTTACTACAGCTTCTAAACGTTACTACTGCTTCTAAACACATGTTAAGAGTACATGGGTTTTAGCTTCTAAACGCCGTGAACATGCAAAATAGGAAGCTTTTAACTCCATGGATGTATAACTATGAAACATTATTCTTTAGGCATTTAAAACTGCCATTTACTTTATTTAAACTGCTCTTTGAATAAACAACTATGAAACATTATTTATTTATCTATTGCAGGGGAGGAGAAGAAAGCTATATAAATGTTGCATGTATCAACAGGTGTATCTCCGGGCAAGGGAATTGGTGCAACAATGTCACACGATGAAGACTGACGATCAAGTAGAGAGTAATGCAAACTTATATGAAGGAAGCCTTGAGAGCATTGTATCTTTGTTCTATGGATCTTATTTTATTTTTATCTCTATCATCAAGAATGTCTTACAATAGTAATGTAAAATTTCCTTGAACTCGCACTACAAAAAAAAAAGTTATTTGTGAGGGGATTGATCCCCTAAGAAATTTGGAGGGCGCAAATAAATTTTCGAGGGGTTTTACACATGGAAAATTTGTCTGGGGTTTTACCCCTCGTCAAATGCAACATAGATTTTATAGTCTGCAACATGTAGACATAGGCGGGCAGGGTAGGTAGCAGTGCGACAAAAATCTTTGCTTGGAATTTAGCCCCTGACAAAATGCAGACATTGACTTTTTCCAGAAGTTTATCCCGTGACAAATTGTAAAGATATTTAAAAAAAATTAATATTCATAAAATAAAAATAAGTAATAATAATTCTATTAATTATATTAATAAAATAAAATAAATATAATTAAACATAATAAATATAATAATTAAAATTCAATCAAATATAACAAAAATAAAACTTCATGCAAATTAAAATAAAGTTCTTAAATTTAAAATAGTTAACATAAATTTTTTCATACAAATTAAAATAAATATTAAATTTTCAAATTTAACGATTCTATTCTTGTTCATCTTGTTCTTCTTCTTGCTCTTCTTCTTCAACAATTCCTCCATATCCACAATTCCTCCAAATCCACCACCGAAACTTTGTGAAGCAAAAAATTGATCAAATATTTGAATCCGCTCATTTGCAATCTGCATTGCTTCTTGATACTCTTGTGTTTGCCTCCTCATTTTTTCCTGCAACTCTGTTTTTCTTCTCTGCATTTCTTGTTGCATCTCTAATTGTTTTTTCTTCATCTCTTCAATTTCTGCATTTCTGGATGCTATGTGGAGTGTTGCCTCAGTATTCACACTACGCCAAAAATAAGTTTTAGCAGCACATAAAAGAAAGCACTTTTAGGAAAAAGCGTTGCTGTAGGTTTTAAAAAAAATTCGCTTAAAAAAAGCGCTTTCAAAGGGTGCCTTAAGAAAGCGCTTTTCAAAAGCGCTGCTAAAGGTCACCCTTAGAAAGCGCTTTTTGGGAAGCGCTGCTAAAGGGTGCCTTTCAGAGGGTACCTTAAGAAAGCGCTGCTAAAGGTTAGCCTTAGAAAGCGCTTTTCCAAAGCGCTGCTATAGGATATGCTACGAAAGCGCTTTTACATTAAAAAGCGCTGTTATAGGTGACTTTTAGAAAGCGCTTTTAAAAGCGCTTTCGTAGGTAGTTTTATAATAAATATCAAAAATTCGTATCATCACTTTTCTATTGTTCTTCACGATATCATCAAAACCCTAAACCAGAGCTCTGCCTCCGTTAGCATCTACGAGCAAATTTTCTTCACGATCAACGACTACCACTTTTCTATTCGTATCCTCTACGTCTTCTTGTTCAGGACAACCGGGGCAGTTTCAGGACTTCTTCATCAGGACCTCTGCCTCCGTTAGCATCTGCAGAGAGAACAACGACCACCGCTTGCCACAGGAGAACCGCAAGGTGAAATCACAAAGTTTGCTGCATCAGAAATCACAACAATATACAACACAAAGTTACACAACTCAGCCCCAAGTATTTCAAT